CTGACATTACAAATTAATATTTTTTGTAGAATATAATTGGTATAATGATTAATAATTGATATACAAAATTAATATGTATACAAAAATAGATAAAAAGGAATATGAATCATTTATTATAACTAGGTAGTTGAAATAATTATATTTAGCTTCTATTTTTTTTTTTAAATAAAATAATAAAATATTAATTCTTGTTTTTTGCTAAGTTGTTATGATAGTATCTACCTATATATATTTATTTATTTATTTATTTATGTATTGTTTTAAAATATTTATTTGAATTTTATAATTGAAATTCAAACAGATTTATTATGAAAATTAATTTAAAGTTATAATATATAGACATATGGGACCCATATAATGTGACACTATTTATTTTATATGACTAAATACCGAGAATTTAAATTTAATATGGAAACAAACTTATTTTTAATGGAAGATATTAAAAAATCACAGAATATCTAGTTTTTAATTAACAATGTATTGGTTTACTTCATATGATTTAATGAGTGTAGCTGTTTCATGGTTCCATATATGAACAGTGCCGTTGTATAAAGATGCCAACATCCATGGCTCTTTGGGATGAAGGTCAACGCATTTTACACGGTCTGAACGAGCAGTCAGCTTACGTTTTATGTCTAAACGTAAAGGCTGGAAAATACCAAACAATTAGATTAAGCACATTATTCAGAAGTTGTAAATATGATGTGGTAGCATCCCATACACTCACCATTTTTAAAGTTTTATAATTAAAGCCTCAGAACATCCACCTGGTCAAGTATTAGTGAGAAGTATCTATTCGTTCAGAGTATAACTTATACGKATTTAAAACATTAAAATTGTAATCTGTAGTCGTGTAAAGATTGCGTATGTACCCTAAAATCTGAATGTTGTCGTCGGCAGAAAGCAGCCTGCGGTGGTGTCTATAGTCTTATCAGTGTAGAGTATGGTTATCATCGTCAGCCGATGATGACAGACGTGTACACAAACAGTCGTACCAACCCTTAGATCATTAACATTGTATATTAATTGTACTATATGTATTTCATCTATTCTGTGATGTAAATGCCAATCAAATGTATTCGGATCACAAAATAGTGGTTCTGAAATAGTCATTTAATATTTAATCTAATATTCTAATACCAGTTTTTCCAATTTTTTCCAGAACAAATGTTTTGTAGAATTATAGATTTATAGATGATTAATATACTTGAAATTTGCTAGACTAAAACGACGTGAAAAATAACGCACTTTGATGTTTGGATCGTGTCAATATGATATGGTAGAARTTCGCAAAGATTTTATTAAAGTTATCCCACATTATCATTTATCATGCACCGGAATAATGAATCATTAAATCGTGTAAATAATACATATGATCAAATCATCAGATTCATCCAATTTTTTTTTTTACACCAATTTTGTATAATGAGATTCCTGAGTTGGTTTCCAATTTTAGTACATATTTATTAATTATCAAGTTGAACTTTTAATCGTTAAAATTTGAAGCCCATAATATAAGCGAGTGACTAGAGACTTGTCACATGGGTCGCATGGGTCCATTATTCATACTATATTATAATCTAAAGTTGAGTAGGTTGACACATTTACTATTATTTAAACTTAAAAGTAAGTATAATTGTGAAAGTAAAAAATATTTATTATTTATTAGTTTAAGCATTATTTAGTAACTCACTGTGTMGTATAGAGTTGAACATATTCAACTTGTAGACAGGCTGCAAGTGCCAAGACGCCAAGTTGTAGGTAAAATGTGACCTTACGTTTTGTTATCTATGTTTTAAATATTATACTGTAAAACATGACACGACGCGGTGAGTTGTAAACCCCCTTAATCGTAGAAAAAATTGTATACCTACTACTTACAGTTACATGATATTTATTGTGTTGCTAATTGCTACCAATGCTACATACCGCAAATCGCAATACCTAAACGTCCTGAACATAGTTGAATCATTGTTAAAAAAAAGTCAACAGTAGATAAATCCTAAGGTTAGGCCTATATGGCTATATATTTATATACAACAAGTCCTTGGAAATTAAGTCAAAATAAMAATTTATTTTAAAATAAAATGCAATAATTATAATTACTAAGTCAATGCCTACCTATGTAAAAAAAAAATCGAAATATTATTAATACAATAACAATATAGGTATATGTCATATGTGCATAATAGGTATGTTATGAATTTATGATTTATTTCGTTATAAAGGTAAATCATTTAAAATTATAGTTCCAATTTAAAAATTAAAATAATACTTAAACTTAGGTATTGGTAAATTCGAACATTTTGTTGTGCAATATCACAATATATCTTACTGTATTTTTCTTTTTACTAATATGTAGGTACCTGACATTTTGGTAGTAAGTAGTCTACCACAGTGGCGCCCAGAAAGGTTAGTAAGTAAGGCAACTGCATGTGTTCTCGAGTACCTATATCAGGGAAAAAGTCCCCTGTGGCCCGGTAAGAAAGTCTCACGGAAAGAAAGTCTCCAAATTAATATTTAATTTTTTTTTTAATTTGCTTTTTAAATATTTAATTTAAATTCAGTATTTTATCAAATATATAGGTATATAGGTCATAGGTAATTCATGTTACATAATTTATTAAAAATAATTAACAAACAACTAAATTAAATAGGTACAAAATATTAATTTGGGGACTTTTTTTCCGTGGGTTAAATAGGTACCTAGCTAGCTGTCCTAGCTTTCTAGGATTAAAAATTATGCTCATATATTCATAACATAAAAACAAAATTATTATTCTCTACAATTCTACATAGTTATCTAGATATTTTCCTTCAGTTTTATTGATGTATACAAAATGCGTATATATATAATAGAAGATTTAAATTTAGTCTTTTATCGTATATATAAGTATTTATAAACATAATTGCACTTTAAATTTATTAAATTATATAAGAAAATATAATATAAAATACGTCTTAAAATATTATAAAAAAAATATAAAAATGTATTTATTTTGATACACGCTCTTCGTAAAATAATTAAAAATTGAATAAAATATAAATTTTATTAATATTATTTTAAAAGTAGCCAATAGGGAAACTTTTTTTCCGTTTACCGTTCTCGAAGGGTAGTGGGTGTAATATATTACTTCAGGTTTTACAGGGAAGCTTATAAATTTATAACATAAACTATAGTATATAGTCTATACTATATAATAATTAATTGCCTTGAACTACAGACTACCTACAGTGAATAATAAGTGAAAATATTTTTCATAAATAAAACATTGGGTGGGTGCAGGTACGTAACTAGACATTTTTCTATAAGGGGGCTAATATTTTTTGGCCCCTTTCTGTTTTTTGTATCCAATACCACTCCTCTCCTTATCAGAAAATATCTATAAAAAATAATACTACATTTCACAATGTATTGTCTGTATTAGTTAAGCATTATATTTTTGTTATTTATTAACATAGGTATACAATAGACATCTTAAAAAACTATATTAGGACAAGTCGTCTATTTATATGGTTCGCTGCTTAATGCTAAGTCTTTAACTCGATAGATAATAATATTATATTAGGACATATCATTTTGTTAGGCATGTTTATTTTATTATACGAYTACCGTAGTGGTCCACTATATTATAATATAGTATTATCTGTATTTGTGTTTATCAAATGTGTGTTCGATACCCGTATTTGGCATTCCTAGATTTCAATTTATTAATAGACGTCTTATTGTCTATCTTGTATTATTGACAAATATTTATAAAATTATTAAAATTTCGAAATTTAATTTTTGTTATACGATCGTTAACTTTACTATATTAAGGAGTACCATATAATATACAATTAGGATTTAACCGGCTTGGGACAATTATGTTACACACCATAATATTTAAAAATAAAAATCAAGGGGGGCAGTCTAGGGCCACTGACATTTCTTAGGGGCCAGGCCCCCCTTAGCGACGTGCCTGGGTGGGTGGATGACAAACATTTTTTAACTGCATGTGCTCTTAAAATACCTTTGTGCGTCACTGCCCACTGGTCTACTGTTTACCACATGGCACATATGTTTTAGATCTTCTCACACTATTCATTATTGTATTCGACATATTGTAATCGATAAAATAAATTATTYAATAACATAAAGTTTATAAAAGAATAAACTGCAATTTGCAAATCTGAAATAAACAAATTATGAATACATCTTCAAAAATGAGAGCTTAGATGATGGGTTTGAAGTTTCGTCTGACGTAAAAATGTCCTATATAGACCCAGCAACCACAACCACCCAGGTCTAAGTGGACCTCAAACATACCGACTGGCAACTTCTTTAAAATATTCCAGGAATATATAAAATACCTAGGTTTTAACGTGTTGTATATAGAATAGTAGAATACTAGTAAAGAATTAAATATTAATAAAATAATAAATTATAATTTTCTGCAGCTAACATTGCAAATAGCTATTATGTTAAAAATTAAGTTGTAAATTACTTTGAGCTATTAAAAATCGTTGTGTAAAATAGCGATTTAATTGTAAATAARTGATAAACGCAAAAATTGAGTGTAACGTTTTAATTGTAAATAACATAAAACAAAATGTTTTTTTCAATTTCGAGGATTGCTTTAAATTTTACAAACATTATTATATGATAGATAAACATAATGTATAAACATTCGTATAAGAGTATATTTATTATTCATACAATATACAAATTATGTCTTATGACTTTGTGCTATTTTACGGTTTCGGACGAGTGCAGCTGTCCAACGTCAGCCGTCATTGTTCACTTGTTCAGTGGTTGTCAATAATTGTCATTGTCGCAGGAAACCGCTTGGCGCTTACCGCAAGGAGCACGGAAGACGAACCTCGCCAGTCGCCACAAAGACACACATTACACACTARTACTCCACTAAAGTGCTATACCAGTAGTGCATTGATTATACAATATTGACCAATGAAGAGTAGTTGGTAGTAGGTAGGAGGTATCGGTGGCGCGTCACAGTCTAGTACCACGACTGCGACGGTAAACCTTACTACCTYAGTCGGCCAGCAATTACTATCACCATTAGGCATTAGTCGCTGACGGAGCAACAGCAGTCGAGGGAGTGCGTCATCAGAGAGCGTTCGTCCACCGACTGTCTCCACTCAAGATAGTTGAAGTCGACTACGAACAACAATAATATGGTCTCCGATGCCGCCGATTAGCCCGTGTCGGCCGGCTATGTATTGTCAGTTTGGATTTGGCGGCGTCGGATCCATGGGTGACAACATTAGGAAGAAGGCCACCAGCGACACGTTGCCCAAACCTGGAAAGGTCAACTCTGGTACTATATTATTATTATTAYATTTTTATTTGTTGATGTTTATATAGGTAGTAGGTACCTTATCCGTACACTTGATATGTAGGCCAAAGATCTCTTGTTTATATATTTCTGTAAATATTATCCTAAATTCGTTGGATAAAGAAAGTGGTTGTTGTGTTTTGGGTCACTTTCACTGCAGTGTTCGATTAGCCCGGGGTGTTGTAACACATTTGCATAGCGCTCGGTAGTCATTGTTAATTGTGGGCAGGGCCGTAATTTAATTTTGGTTCAATGGCACAAATATTATATTTGTCGTTTTTCAATACCGCTGCATTCTATATGACTATGGTCAGTTTCTGATCGTGTATAGTCTCTCAATACATTTTTGGGATTTTCCGAGGTATTTTCTCGCGTCTCGTATTAGTAGACACAATAATCATATATCCAATTTATTTAATGAATTTAATGTTTTTAAAATTGAATACCTACCTATKTTTTGAGTTTGATTAATTTGATCTTGTTTAGTACTGATAGTAATTTTGTATATATTCATAGTCAAAAATAATGTTTAGATTTGAGGGGACTGAAGATTTTAAAGCAAGGATTAAATTTTTCTTAATATACTTTATGTGGTGTAAAATTTTTAGATTTTTTGGGAGGTTTATCTCCTTTAAACCCTATGCTTTTTGTGTCTGTATGCTTTAGCATACAATTTTTTCTTTAAATCMAATTTTCGACAACTAGAATTTTATTTTGTCCTCAACTGATTCAAATTATTGATGTTCACTGTACTTTTGTTTTAGCCATGCCAAATCAATTATGYCTWAAGATAATTTAATTCAGTTGTAGTTTTTTAAGCAAATTAGCAAGTACTGTACAACAGAAATGATCTTGTTATATATTTGTATGAGAGATATATTATATCTACATATAAAGCACTGTGAAAACAATTTCCTTATTGTTATTGGTTTAAATATAAATATAAATATAAAGGTAACTGTCTACCTATACACAAAAACAATTAGGCATTACTGTCATTTTAAGAATAAAATAAATTGAATTGTATAAATAACCAAATGACAAAATAAATTTCATATATATAAATATATATATATATATATATAGACTTATAGTTATTATATGTTAACATTTAAAAAAAGTAATTTAATAGAATAATAGTTTAAATAAGACAAAAAAAGTCAAATATTTATAAATGGAAATTTTTAATAATAAACTCTTTTTTCTTTAGTTAGGTTATTGACATTTAATAGACCATAAAATTCCTGTATTATTATTATTATATCTGTTAATTAATTAATTTTTTTAAATATTATTGATGGCGGTCGAATACAAAATTGAAGGGACATTAAATTACATTAAGTGACAATTAACTCAATATTGATACATTAAATTGTTAATGATTAGTTATGCGACCAGGCTTGTGAATATTATTTACTTCTTAAGGTTGACTAGTTGTTCCATTAATTAATATGAAATTSTCCTATATTCTTAAGTTTGTATTAATGGTGTGTCACATAGGGTCCAAGTGTTTTCAGGAAGCATCTTAAATATCCGTAGGTAGGCATTGATAGAAGAAAAATAGGACTTATTATAGGTATAGTTTTGAAAATATTATTAGGGGCAAGGTGACAGGTCACATAGTTATTTGTTGAACATCAATCTTTTATTTGATATTATTGTTATACTATTACAAAGTGTTTCTTACCATTTTTGTTTTACAAATTATATATTTCTGGTGTCATTATGCCTGACGATTTAAATGKTTAACTACTTATATGAAATCAATAATAATGTCCCTCATTTTGTTTGTTTTAAAAAACTGTTATGGTTATAATTATTTTTGTTTCTAGTTTTTTGAAGATATATTTTTATTTTTTAATTATTGATATTGTTTTAAATGTCACCTAGATATAGTTTTAGTTCCAGTTATTGCAATATAGACTATTTAATTAATCCTATATTATCGAATAAAAATATGGCAGCCTAGAATACTTGTGTATAAGAAACATGCAACTATGCAACAAAGCCATATCAAAACGAGATGGTATCATTTTTTTTTAACCCTAGATTTAATAAAATCTATTATAGAAGCTTGAATTTTAAGTTGCAGCAATTTTGTACCAAGTGTGCAATAAGTTTATTTTTTTTTTTTTAGTTAGCAGTTAACCTCATTAAAATTAAAATAATTAAATAGTTTCAGAGATATATACATTTTATAACTAGATTGTTAGATCAAAATCAATTATTATATAAATATATTTTCATTAAAATAGGTTTTGTAAAACGCTTTATAAATCCATATGCACCTTAAGACAACTAAGACAAGCTTGATTTGTTTCTAACTATATAGACTAGATTTTTTGCTAAACAAAATGATTATTTTATTTTATTTTGATAAGATACTTATATATAATTATAAATTAAACATACATATTAACTTTCTACAAATATTTTATTGAAAATAAATCTGATAAATTATCCAAACAATTGGTTTTACAGTAAGCTTTGTACAGTTATTTTGATATTTAATGTTAGTCTACTTCTTCTGTGGACTTTTTTTCTGTATTGACATCTTCTATTGACTGTCCGTATTGTTCTAAATATCGCACCATTGTCAACTGAGTTTGTCCTATAGTCTGCAAACACCTATTGTTTACTTGACCTATTACACCAATCAGTTTTGCTCTGGCATTATCAATATTTWCTAGGTTTCCATATTCTACAGTCTGATTTTTGCTTAATAATTTCCCATCAACMACGGATGCTAATAAAATTAAGTGAGGCATCTTCTTAATAATTTTTAACAATTTTGGTACCTGTGATGTGCTACTAAATACTATTGAGCTGTGTGATTGAAATAAATTCAATACTGCAGCATAATTTGTTTCTGCCAAGGCTAGTTTTAAAGTGCTTTTACCATACACAACGTGATCCATACCAGCCATTTTAAAAGTTTTTCTAGTTTTGAAGTCAATTTCTCCCTTAACTGGATTTTTATGAAATATTGCAACCATTGCACTCTGCTCAAATAATTCTTTAAGTTCTTTGGCTAAGATGTTTTCATATGGGTTATTTTCTATTTGTTTAAATGCTTTACTGTATGGTTTAGCGCATCTTTCACTCCATGTCATATCTGATGGGTTTGGCCATGGATATTTGGGCTTAGTAATTGTTTCAATGACTGCTCGGTAATGATCTGGTTTTCTGGGTTTCTGAACATTGACTCTTCTGTATCGAACGCTTATAACATTTGGTGTAAATCCACGGCTACAAATAGTTTTGGTTGAACAGTGAAACATGATCTTACGGTTGTATATTATATTCTTTGCATAAAAAAATATCTACAATTAATTAATACAAAACAAAAAAAATTCCAATTGTACAGTGTACACTAAAACTGATACTAAAATTTAATATCATATAAATTATAAATAACAATAATGAAATAATATTTATATGTAAGGTTTACTTGGAATGGAACGATAACCTCAATTTGTTCTCATTTTTGATCAATCTCGAAACCAGTGTAGCCATATACTATTATAATATCATGCGTTCAAATATTGTATTGGGCGTGTCTTGGTTGAGTTATTACAATTATTAATTTACAACTTCTAAATCTAAACTCAAATGCAAATAAATCCGGGATTTTACCTAAAAGTCCGGCGAAAGAAAGTCCGATGKACAAAATTCCGGTTACAAAAGTCCCACGAAAAAAAGTCCGATGTCATAAAAGTCCYGCGAAAAAAAGTCCGGTTTATTTATTTACGAGGGGTAAACCACTATCGAAAATTATGTACACCAGATTATAAAGAATAAAGATTTTTATAATGCTCTACCATAGTCAGCTGTTTCTTATGGCCATCGAGAAATTTGAACTTGGAAATATTTTTTTGAAGATTCCATAATATTCTTCATATTGACTTTCTGAAATTAAATCGGGCAAAGTATTACTAGCAAAATCTTCAATACTGGAAATATCACTTGGTTGAAGCTTAAATTTAAAATTCCTTTCAGCTTCTTCAAATGGGTCTTCATTCTTTGAGTTAATATTATTTAATTCCTCCATGATAATAATCTATTAAAATAATATTATAAATATGCACTAAAAATAAAAAAAGCACTTAAAAAGGTCATTAAAAAAAGGATTTATTCGTATAAATATAAAAAACATTGTAATTTATTTATAATTATTTGGTACTTAATTAATRAAAAAGATAATAAAAATACAACTACATGGTTTTCGATTTATTGGGTATCTTTAAGCCGGACTTTTTTTCGCGGGACTTTTATGACATCGGACTTTTTTTCGTGAGACTTTTGTAACCGGACTTTTGTTCGGTGATTCAATAAATTCAGATGAAAAATAAATTTAAAAAATGTGTTCCAAGATTTTTTTAGTTTAACTTCTCGCATTGATTTTTATATCAAAAYCATGTTTCTATATGATCGATTTGTATCAAAGAAAAAAATGCAATTTAGAGAAAATGTTTGGTTATAGATAATGAATTTATAGTACATATTTTTGATACATCAGAAATTYTGGAATAATTTGATTAATAAAGGAAGTTAAATGACTGGTAAATGTATAAAAATAAGACTGGTAAAAGATGCAAGTATCTACACATCGAATGTAGGAAAAAA